ATAAAATATATATTAAGAATTAAGAATATATTAAGAATTAAGAATATATTAAGAATTAAGAATATAAAAGGTTTAAAATGTGCAGTGTACAGTATACTCTTACCCATGTTTCAGCTATGTATTATTATTATTTTAGCCTTTTATAGTCTTAATCGTATTTGTCTTCTTCCTGTGTTTTTATTTTACTGTAATTTCTTTTTGAGTTTACAGTATAATAAAACAATTATTATTATTACATCATACAACTTGCTCTTGTTTAACACTGGAAATGGTCAAAGAACCACCCTGCTGCCACCACCATAGTCAGTACAAGCAAATCAAGCTACGATTGTGTCATTGTAATCATCGCTCGCTGTCTAATGTCTGTCTACCTGCTTCATTCAACCTTCATATAAGTGAAAAGGAAAATGTCCTCATCTATGAATGAAGTTATTTTCGGCCTGTCTATCCAAAATATAGGATACATTTATTACTCACCAACAAGAATCGTCGCAGTCCTGAAGGACTTCATCTTCTTTATTTTTCTGTCTTTGATTGCTGTGACATTATGATCTCACAGACCACATAGACTTCCTTTTAACTGCCACAGTTTCCACTGAAGCCTCACTTCTATATTTTGACAATGCCTCTTTACCTGTAACCTCTTTCGGTTTGGCTACAATGCAAGTTTTCCATTTTACCAGTCTCCTAGCAGTAATAATTAGATTAAATTTTTTACTGTTTTTAAATCGTATTCATCTATGTAACTGCTTTAGTACCATTTCACTGATATTTTGAAGTAAATTAAACTAATTCAAAAACATAGCCACAAGGAACACAGTACAGTCACAAGGAGTCCATTAGTGTCATACTACTATTACTTTATATGCACCTCATCTCCCATTGACTTACTGTTGTTGATATTCCTACTGTAACAAACACAGTAAGGCACTGAACTCCACAAACATGAGTTAAATGTGTCAAGATAGTTTTTCTACTGTCTTGGACTTGTTGGTATTTGCACTTGGACTTGTCTCAAAGTTGGCCATTGGTCTTCCCAATACTTAATTTGGTCTGGACCAATTATCTTCCTCCTTCAGAACAAAACCATTGATGGAGCCCACTTGTTCAGAAAACGTCTGTTGGTTTAATTAAAAGTCCACCTAGAATGGGCATGAACACTGTGGGGCTTGACTGGGTCACGATTGTGTAGGGCTTAGTGGCATATAGCGTTGAAGTTTCAGATTGTAACTAACTGAACACCACTGGTGTCTGCATTTGAGAGACTAAACTGGCAGAGTCTGCGAAATGCCCAGACTACCCTAGCTCTGATGCTAACCAGTGCTACTATAAACTAGACAGGGCCGGGGCAGCTAACTATTGTTCCTGCAGCACCAAAGCAGCAGAGAGTGGGATAGCCATCGGGCCAGGCACACTCTCAGACCCAGTGGCTTTAGTCTCTCCCCGTTCCCTCTGTAGATAAGAATGGCTCATTCTAAGGTAACAAAAACACAACCATTCTTATTTTTTATGTGACTATACACTAATAAAAACATACTTGTGAATATTATATTTTATTTCTGTCAATAGATCCTTCTAAAAGTAACACACTGGACCTTTAATATTCTAACAAATACATAAAGTGGTTCCAATAGGTATATTGTGTTGTTCGCCTTGGTTATAATTTATGGTTTTATATGGAAAATGTGTAAAAGATGGTCAATATAATACTACTACTATTACTACTAGCCTACTGCTACAACTACTACTACTTATAAATATATTATTAATCACATTATTACTGTATATCAGAATTGTATTATTGTTAATTAAAAGTAATACATATATTATTATTATTATTATTATTATTATTATTATTATTATTATAGTAGCAGACGCAGTATCGTCACCAGCTGTTTCAGTTTTTCCTTTCCGGACCCCTGATGACGTGGGAGGTTAAAGGTCGACGCAGCGCAAACAGCAGCACGGAGCTTCACGCTGGGTAGAGGAGCATGAAGGGAACATAAACAGCTGTGTGTGTTGTTGTTTTGTTGTGGAAACTTACAAAAGCAATGCCGGCCACAGCTGCCTTTGAATAGAAACTGCTTCGCTTGTCAAAGTATCGGACTGCGAACGGAGACAGGTAGCAGCCGGATGAAGGAGCGTTCACAGGTGATACGCTAGCATTAGCATGTTTGTTGGCTAACTAACGTTACCTGTCAAACCAGCTGTCCTGTCGGCGTGATGTTAGATAGCTCATACGTGCTGTTGTTAGCCAGTTGTAACCGCAAGGAAAAGAAGCGCCCCAAAAAGCGTCCAGTGTAATTGTAGGCATAACGTTAAAGCAACACAAATGAACCAGTAACTTACGTTTGCTGTCATGTTCACTTACTTGTTGTTTTAGATTCCCTCTGGTTAGCACGCTAACGTGAGAAGTTAAGCTAGCTCTCTCAAAGCATTTGATACCGAGACGTCTGTAACGCGTGTAAAAAAAGTAACGTTACTTTATACAGCCAGTACTCGACGCCACGTTATATGGCTGTCTGAGACGGCTGTCAGTGCTGTTTTTAGCTCAAATGTGTAGCCGTTAGCTGTGTCGTGTATTTCCAAGATAACTACTTGCTGGAGGCTAGGCTAACGTTAGCTTGGGCCAAGTATTTTGAGTTGAGTTTGGGGTGTTTTATCACTCAACACTGTTTAGATGGCAGGGGCAGTTGTTGGCAAACTGTGGTCAGAGTACTTCAGTAGGTCCTTGGAAAGATGTTAAGGAGGTCTTCCAGTAAAATAGAGAATACTCGATTCTGCTTGATCCGCAGGAAGAAACCACGATCAGATTACGCATATCACTACTCAATCACCAATTTACCACTATAGTTTCTGTATGTGCATTTACAAATCAACAACAATCATGTTCTATGGAATAAACAGTATATGTCGTGATAAAGTACATTTTCTGCTAATTCAATTGATAAAGTGTTTGTAGTTTTCAATAACACATTAGGCTATCTGTTTTTCACAGGATTGACATCTAAAAAAATCAAGGTACGTATGTCCTGTAATATTCCTCACTGCGGTGAAAGGGTTGAATGAGACACAACATACTGACTGTGCAGTCTGTGTTTCAGGATGGCAGGAGTGTTTGACATCGACTTGGAGAGTGAGGACATCAGTGATCCAGAGGTCTGTACCACTCACTACAGTTTGTTTGTGGTTGAGACACATTGTGATCATTACTCTGTAGTACACCTTCTGGCTCAAAAATTCACTATATAGGCCGCCATACTGGTAATTAGTGAATTTCTTCCCTCTAAAATCGGTATCGATCAGGTTCTAATGCATTGCCATGAACACTTCAAACACACTTCAAACACATCTATTTGTGTATTACTATTATGACTTTGTTTAACCTCATTGGCTTGTTGTTCCCCATCTGTAGGATGATGTCTGTGACTTCACTGTGGCAGAACCAGATAAGTAAGTTTACCATTAAGTCTAGAAAGACTAGATGCAGGTATAGTATAAACATAAATACCAATACTGCGACCTCTGTGTGGTGCTCCTCCCAGTGTTCAGACAGAGGAAGTGGAGTTGACCAGTGAAAGTGTCAACAGAGACAGTGAGAGAGTTGGACCTGACTGCTTTGAGCTCCTTACTGTGCTGGGAAAAGGAGCCTATGGCAAGGTGTGTGTACATGCTGGTATACACATGTATACATTACATTACATACATTTTCATTGTAAACGTAAAATATTGTTGAAGTTTAATATCAGTTCAACGGAAGGAAAGTCATATATCAGCAAGGTGTTCATTCTAATTTTTGGAGCAGCAAATATTGATCTTTCAGTATTGTTTCCTTGGAAATACACCTAGTGATCATCATTTACTTCTATAAACAACACTGTAAACATTATGCCATGATAATAACTGTTTATCAGATCATTTCTAAAATATAAAAACTGAATATTAAAACAAATTGTCTTTTATCAGGTCTTCCAGGTTAGGAAGGTTCAAGGTGCTCAGACAGGGAAAATCTTTGCCATGAAGGTTCTGAAAAAGGTACTTTGTTGCTGCCCTCAGCTTCCTTTTAAGGGCCATTTCACACTGCTGCGCAGGAACCGCCCTAACGACTGCCTGCTTGCAAGAACATTCCTCAGGCATTCTAAAAAGTGCTTGCTGCCACTATGCTCCGCGGCTGCGATGACAGGCAGGTGCTACAGTGAAAATCACAGAAAATCCTCAAGTCCACAGAATCAATCATCCGCAATTGCAGCACAATGCATGCCGATTTGTGTCCGATTTGGTGCCGACTTGCTCTGATGTCATGCACACGTGGGAAAAAATAACTACACAAGATCGAGGTGGCCGCAGTTCCTCGAGATTGTAGCTGTTTCATGTCTCGTGTTGTGCAATCTGTTAACAAGAGTGGTTGATGATGATGATAATAATAATAATAATAATAACGTTTATTGTGAATCTGCGAACTACAGGCAGATGATCTACCAATATGCAAACATTTCTGTGACTGTTCTTGAAGGCTGTCCGGCTTGACTGCAGCTTTTTGTCCCCTCCTCTTGCTGCTGCCGCCTGATCCCACTCCCTTTCCTGGGGAGGTGCAGTTTATCTCGAATGAGCCTGCTCTTATGATATGTGCAGAATGTGAGAGGATGTCCAAAGTCCTGTAGTGTACACCGGGCATAAGCAACTGCTAACTGTAGCAAGACAATGGAAATGACTGAAATTGTCTTCCCTGGCCAAGTTTTTCTTCCAGCTGTGCTTATAAGTAACCATGATGTACAACTCTGGGTATTAGACACCAGCATTATCAGCTCCTCCATTGCTCTTCCTTCTGACCCTGCAATAGTCATCCTCTTCTATTTGATTGATATTTTGATTCATAACCATACTGCCATGATCAAAACTGCTTCCCCTAATTTAAATAACTGGAAGAAGTCAGTTATTGCGCGACAGTGTGAAAGGCCCTTAAGACGTTTAAACTGTCGTTTAAACAGTACATGAAGTTATTTCTCGCTTTCCATTTAGTCTTCAGCCTTTTTTCTCTACACCACCCATTATTTTCGTCCTGCTTTCTTTCCACCTGTTTTGCCTCTATGCTCACTTGTTTTGTTAATTTTTTCCACAGGCTAAGATTGTGTGTAATGCCAAAGACACGGCACATACGCGGGCAGAGCGGGAGATCCTGGAGACTGTGAGACACCCTTTCATCGTGGATCTGCTGTATGCCTTCCAGACTGGGGGAAAACTCTACCTCATACTGGAGTGTCTGAGTGGTAAGGCAGTGAGGGATGGACTGATGGACGTGGAGGATAAAAAAGAGATCCCTTCATTTTCAGCATTTATGGTTGTTTAAAGGGCAAGGGAGAAAGAGGGGTGGATTGAGAAATAAAAGAGTGTATGGGGTGAAGATTCCCTGATGCCTTTAACCCACCCAACCTTACTGCTGTTTATCACCAGGAGGGGAATTGTTCATGCAGCTAGAGAAAGAAGGCATCTTCATGGAGGACACTGCTTGGTAAGGATGTTTACACCTGCAAATCAGTTGTTTATTTTTTTAATTTAGCGAGTTAATGATACATTGTTTCATTCCTTGTTAGTCTCACTTTTGCAGTTTAGCTCAGATCAGTCTGCCTCTTGTCATGTCATGGACTCAAATTATTCATGTCTGTGTACAGTTTCTATCTAGGAGAGATCACGTTGGCCCTAGGTCACCTCCACTCGAACGGGATTATTTACAGAGACCTCAAACCTGAAAACATCATGCTTAATCACCAAGGTAACACACCACACGCAAATACATGTAACCAGGCAGATAAGGGAGTTTTGAGACCAGTACTGCTTTTAGACAGGAAACATTCACACATTACCAATATGGCAGCTGATAAAGTGATTTTTTTTTTTGAGCTGGAATGAAAATATGTGGACTTTGCACCAATATACAAAGAAGGCTGACTTCTTCTTCTAAAACAGGGGTGTCAAACTAATCACACAAGGGGCTAATATTTAAAACACAGTCTTAGTTGCAGCCCAAACAGGATTAATATTTATCAATTTATTAATTCATCAACAGCTAATGAAAAAGCCTGATAACTGTGTGTCTCTTCGGCAGCTGTTTTGTCAGATTTTCTGCGAGTTCCTTAACTCGGTCTGCAATGGTGTTTCTTGACAAACTGACATTTTTAAAAGTCTGTATCTGGTCGGGACACACCTGCTCACACACCTTCATTTCATTCAAAAATGCACGCTCTGAAAAACACCTCGAAGCTCGGGCTATTTCTTCAGCCACAATAAAGCTAGCTTTCTCTGCTGCATTAGCTTTTGTGAACATTTCCTGCTGCAGTTGCAGTCTGCCTTTTAATTCTTGGGCAATTTGTTGTTTTTCTTGGAGGCTAAATTTAGCATACTTATCTCAGTGTGTGGTGTCAAAATGCCTACGGAAATGGTACTCCTTCACCACCAACACTGCCTCATAATACAAAAGACACACAGGTTTTTCTCCTTGAAGCACACACATATATTTGCTTTCCCATCTTCTATTAAATTGCCTTCCTCCTGCATCAATCTTTCTCTTCTTAGACATTTTTGGGATTAATTGTTGACATTTCTAATCTACGCTTGTTGGAAAATCGTCTGTTAAAGACTGAAGCAGAAACCCTGCGATCTAGTGGCGGGAGGCCGACACTTTGAGGGTCACGAAATCGGCGTACATTGTGGGAGATGTAGTTTATGGTCAATGTATGCTTTAAATTAGAATAGACTTTTATTTTAGGACAACCATACGCATTTCAAGCTCCTGCGGATTCGGCCTGCGGGCCTTGAGTTTGACACATATGTTCTAAAATCTGAAAGATGTTAAATAATTGGACATTTTAGATTGTTAACCAATTCTAGTTGACATTGCTGAGAGCTGCTGCTTCTCTTCCTCTGTGTTGCTTGCCAGTGCTGTAAAATCACAGCGAATTCTGCTGGATAAACTTTGCAGTGACACCAATCTATTAGCACAAGCACTTTTTGTCTGCATTATATACCAGAAAAAAACCTGTTTTCATATCAGATAACATACAACACTAACGATAATGTTTGTGATATGGCCTTGTCAGACGCTAACATTGGCAGTAGGGCTCTATAGTTTAATGACAGAATCAAACCAAACCAAAATGTCATCCTCCCAAACCAGCAGTTTTTCTTATCAAAACTGTTTCATTACTAGTGCCATCTGCTGTGGGTAAGGTACACTGCAGATACAGTATGATTGATTGGAATACTTGGTGTTATTTTTTTAAATTGAAAAGTAGCATTGTCTGTAGATGATATCCTATACTGACACAAATAAAGTTATCCTTTCTCAGTCATGAAGTGTTCATTTGTTGGTGATCATTTGCTAGGCTCTATTTGGTTGACAAAGGGAGAAAGACAGAGACAAAGCTGCCAGCAACAACAGTAGCATCAGCTATACTTGTAGAAATGACTGATGATGATGATGATGATGATGTTGACGACAAACACCACAATGATGGGGATTGATGAATAATAATAACAATAATAATAATAATGGCAGTGGCAGTCAAGCAGGACCATGGCGGGAGG